CACAATCTGAAGGATGGGAAAAGAATTTTATATGAAGACAAAAAATGGGTATCTTAGGAAAATATCAATTTTTTCATAAAATGCACAAATGTTAGAATGAGATTTTGAAGACCCCAGGTCCCAAGGGGTACAGGTTTATTCCCATTGGCGTGGGGATGAGTTCTAGGGGAAGATTCAGGAAACACTAATGGTGTTCACTTCAAGCTACAGACTGGGTCTTCAAGTCACAAGTACACATTCACAACGGCAATGCTAGTGCCTCGGGCAGCTCACAGCAAATGCCAGGGTGCCTAGCAGGCCCTAAGGTAACTATGTTATTTGCGATGTACCTTTCACCCCACAGGATGGCATCATCCATCTAGCCATCCACCCACTCAGCCAACATCTACCATCAGCTTGTCACTGCCCTTGGTGCAGAAGTAGAGTGATGAACAAGTTAGGCAGTTTCTGTTCTCAAGGAGCTCATAATCTGGCAGGGAAAATGCATGCAGAGAAGAGTCACATTATTAAACACATTATTAAAGAGAAGTATTCTGGAAAGGAGCATAGTGTTCTGGCTGCTGGGGGGAGCAGTCATTTTTCACTGATCACAGTCTCCACAAAATCATCCCTGTCACAGTGGAAAGTGTATTTTTATTTCTAGTCCCCAGAATTAATTTTAAAAACAAGGTATATCTCCATCACCACCCATGGGATTCTGAATATTCTGCATGTTTGGAAAGAAAGAGGTATGCTTTAGGAATTTATTGTGAAAAATTTCTGAGAATCTGCTGCTAAGTCACTTCAGTCGTGTCCAACTCTATGTGACCCCATAGACCACAGCCCACCAGGCTCCACCGTCCCTGGGATTCTCCAGGCAAGAACAATGGAGTAGGTTGCCATTTCCTTCTCCAATGCATAAAAGTAAAAAGTGAAAGTGAAGTCACTCAGTCGTGTCCGACTCTTCGCGACCCCATGGACTGCAGCCCACCAGGCTCCTCCGTCCATGGGATTTTCCAGGCAAGAGTACTGGAGTGGGGTGCCATTGCCTTCTCCATCTGAGAATCTAGGTATACATAAACTGTGAAGCTTTCATTTGATATTGCAAAGATAATTCTTCATTGTTTTCTTCTCTGGAGTTGCAATCTATTTTCGAGGAATGAAAATACTATTGGTACCTGCCTTAGTAAATTCTTACCTTACAATATCATTTTTAGAGTGAGAATTTGTTTGAACTTCCTTTCTCCTCACTCCCCCAATTACCTCCTCCCTCCCTCCCTTCCCGCTTATTCTCTCCTTCCTTTCCAGCAAATATTTTAATCACCGAATTGAATTCCAATCATACAATATATAGTGATAAGAAAGCCAACAAAACGTATCTAAACCCATTAAAATACCTTTCAGGACCGAACTGACTGAACACCATTTTATACCAATGCAACTTGCTAGGAAATTCCTGTTTTGTCAAGTGAGGTCTCTTGTCCGGAGCTGTGACAAAACAGCAGGTGACATAACCTCACGCTGTGGGCTTCAGTGCCGTCCTCTGAATCCTGCCAAAAACCTTACCTTCTTCCAGCACTCATGAAAGAACCATGCCGTTTCATACGGTATACATCCTTAAAGTCCCATAGGAAATTTCAAATAAGATTGTGCAGCTCCAATGCTACTAGAAAAATCCTCTGGTGCCAAGATTCAGCCACAGGAGGATTCCCGTCTTTCTCAAGGCAGGTAAACACCCTCTTGTGCTTATCGGGGAATCCTGAAGATTGTATTGGGGTTGTATTGGAGGGATTATGAACACCCTTAACTCTTCTTGTGGAAGTGCCTTGATCCTCACACACCTTTCTGTGCCGTGAACGAGGCAGAGCCAAATGCATCACGGCTTCAGTCTCCACCTTAATGCTCTACCACAGGGGAGGCCCAGCCTCTGCTGGTCCTCCCTCAGGTCCTTCTGGCCCATCAGTACACGGGAAAAAAGCAGACTCAGAGGAGAGAGCGAGGTATGAGCATGGCTGAACAGAAATCACTCTGTCTCATTTACAGCAGCTGAGCTTTGTCAAGTCGTCTTCTCCGGCAGGTTTACAATTTGATTTCAAGGAAGTAAAAACAGCTAGATTATTAGGAAGCCTCGCTATGCAGCCCAGCAATGCCAGATGCCAGCTCTCCTCAGGGAACAGAGAAAGTCCTTACTCACTGCCAGGTCATGAGAGAAAAAAAAAAAAAAAAAAAAAGCATTTCATCATCACTTGCTATTAAGGCACCTTTCAAGATACAAGAGAACATTTTGGGTCAGTATGTCCAGCTTCTTCTCCCCAAACTTCTAAAACTTTTGGGAGGTGTGGGGACTTCCTGGAAGTGATGTCTCATTTGCCTAGACTAGTCTGCATCAGGGAGATCTCTTGACAACTTCTAAGCTGTTTGGAAGAAAAAAACCTGAATGTCTGATTTCTTCATATTCATAGCTACTTTTACCTTTATTCTGCCACCCTACTCTGTATCAGAATAGTTACAATGAGATGCATTGCATAAGTGTATCCTCTCGAGTTAGCCAAAGTCTTGAGTTTTGCTTCATATAAGAGAACTCACAATTAACTCAATGGATGAATTAAAGGCTATGCTTTGAAGAGACTGTTTTCCTTTAAAAATCTGTCTAAAACAGGCTGTTGTGACTTTTTCAGGTCTTTTTTGAATGACGAGTCAGAAACATACACAAAAATCCCCCAGAGAGTACTTGAAAATTATCCAATCTATTGGGATGTAAAGATGAAAAACACAGTTACATCTTTAAACACATCTAGAACAGCATTAAAAAACTGCCCACTACTGTGATAATAATTGTATGTAACAAGATCTTTGAAATTTTATTAAATTGTATCAATTTAGCAATTGTATTAATACCAAACCAATGCCATAAAAACTTCATTAGTCAGAAAATCCCTATTTCACTTTAAAAAATGTTGGAAACTTTCTAAACATATAAAGGCTATATCAGCAAGAAAGTGTCTGTCCTCTTTGTATAATTCCACATGACATCAGTGATCTTAGAATCCCAGGATCTCAGATGTAGGAACCTGCAGCAAATCTCATCCAACTCCCTCATTTCTACAGACAAGGCCTAAAAGGGTGCGACTTCAGGTGACTGTTGAACGAAAGCAGCTGAATGAGGGCAGACCCAGGCCTGGCCTGTTGGCCCCGTCCACCCACTGCCCTGTCCACCACACCAGGCTGTTTCTCTGCTTAGCAATTTCATTACAGAGGTGGAGGGGCACTGGGGAAACGCACTGACCACAGACAAGAAAGATTCTTCTCCTACAGTGGGGACACAGAAAATTCCAGTTAAGAGATGTCTGATAAATTAAAATGTTACTGTATGTCTACTCCTGCTTTAACGATCCTCTGAATTAACTAGACAATGGTCTAGCCTTTCTGGGTGAAATAAAACCTCACTCCAGGTGTTTGGAATGTTTCGGGCATTTAGAAATCATCGCACAATGGTTAAATTTCCAGGTGAGTCCCTACCACTTAGTGTGGAACACATATGTCACTCCTAGAGTACCTTCCATGATTTAAACAAAGGAACAAAAAAAAATTCAAATGTAAAATGCTCTCTTTTTAATTACTAAATTAAGAAAGTTAAACAATTTAAAAATGTAAACTCACAAAGAAATAACAAAAAAGGAATTAAGACTTCAGAGTTGCTACTTGGTATTAAAAACTCAAATAGAAATAGGGTTTTTGATTTGTTGTTGTTAAACATCTGTAATTCAAGGTTGGTACAAACAGCAACTAAAAACGTAATACTTTTTTTTTTTTTTGTGCATCCTCATGAAATGTAAAGTAGTGCATAGTTATCTCACTGGAGGACTCCTGGACATAGAGAAAGTCATTTCATTAGCAGTAGAGAACATTCAAACACTTATTTTACAATGGGAAATGTACAAACCCCTCCCTCACCTTCCCTTAAGGTTTAGTTGCAGGAGAAAATTTAGCATGTTGCCATGACTACAATGCTATGGATTTTAGACCATTTAAATGTGGTTACAAGGTTTATTAAATTAAAAAAGTTGGAAACATTTCAGCATTCATGTTTTTTTTACACAAGAAGTTTGTGTGGTATCCATTCTCTAGTTTCCCTGATGGTACTGGCCATTTGCCTGCTTTAAAGAGGCTCACTTTTAAGTTTCAAGAACAAATCATAGTAAGTTGAAGCAAATACTGGAAAAAAAGAAATTGTGAATCCAGCTTGGGCCCTGATGAAAAGAGTCAAAGTAACAGCCATCTACAGGCACAGTCATGAACCAAAAAAGTACAATCCAAGTTAAAAACAAACAAACATGTTTTGCAAAGGCCAAAAAGCAAGGCCACTGGTTTTCAGAATCACACCAGTGCTTCTATGTTGAATTTCCAGTCAAATCCTCATTCTGGGTCCTGAAGCTTTGTGGCCAACACTGGCCATGGTCTCCATGTTAGCACCCACATGGCATATGCACAGGGATATATAGAATTATATATATTCATATTTATAAAAAAGGAAAAAAAAAACAAACACCTGTCCTGATTGGTTTTTGTTAAAACATGAAAAAAAATTTTATTGTTTTAGACAAAGAGGCCACTTTTGGAAAATAATACTTTTTTTTTTTTAGTTGAATCAGGTGAAGACAGAGTTAAAATCACATAGGATTTGCATTTTAAAAAAAGGAAAGCACTAGGATCGTTGGCACTGGAGTAACTATTTACACTGAACAGAGGTTTGGCCTTTTACATAACATCGATACAATGCATTTCCAAAGTCTGAGAAATAACAAGGTTCTGTCTCGAATGCTTCACAGAGGAGGTTCGGATGTGGGGACAAGTGTCATGAATGAGGGCCATGGAGTTCGTCAGCTTCAGAGTCACATGCAATCTGATCCTGGACGGTTCTGGCTGCTCTGCTCGGAGCAGCTGGCTATGGAATTGAAAGCTAATGGGGAGGGGGCGGGGAAACCTCTGGGACCAGGCCTCTCTCTCTGCAGACCCAGGTCTTACAGGTTTTCCCCGGGTTGATACTGAGGCTCTGTCGCGGTGAAGTAGTCTTCCAGGAAGCCCTGCAGGTACTCGAAAGTGGGCCGCTCTTCGGGGTCCTTTTTCCAGCAGTGTATCATGAGCTCGTGGAGGGAGATGGGGCAGTCCTGCGGACAGGGCATCCTGTAGCCGCGCTCCACCTGCTCCAGCACCTCCCGGTTGTTCATGCCTGCAACGACAAGGGTCGTGAGAGCGGGCACCCCTGCGTCTTCCCTTTCTTCTCCTTGGAGCCTACAGGTGGTTAAAACGTGTTGCGTGCCCCCACCTCACCCAGAGGCGAACTCTGTCTTCAATGGGCTAGCTCACCACTCAGAAATAAAAAAGGACTCCCCTCCGGACACACGTGAAGCCCTGGAGGGTGAATCTCAAAAGCATTAGAAGTGAAAGAAGCCAGACACAAAAGGCGACGTACTGCATGATTTCATTTATATGAAATTCTAGAAAAGGCAAAAACTATAGTGATAGAAAGCAGATCAGTGGTTGCCAGGGGTGACGGGGAGGGCAATCCTGCAATGAGGCCGCAGGGAACACGAGTGTGATGGAAACGTTCTGTATCAGCAAACCCTCCCTGTAAAGGCCAGGCGGTAAAGATTTTAGGTTGCATACTGTCTCTGCCGCATATCCTTCACTTTATTTATTTTTTTCTACAGCTCTGAAAATGCAGAAAACAAAGACAGGGTGGGAGCCGGATCTGGCCTAGAAGCTGTAGCCTGCCAACCTGTGTTCTAATCCTGAGTGTGGAGGTGTGACTGTTTATGTTTGTCAAAACTCACTGAATTCTTCAAGCTGTAGAATTCTATTGTATGTAAATTATACATCAATTACGCTGACAAAAGTATGAATGAAGCAGATAAAAACAAATTCAGGGAATGAAAACTAAACTGTCCTTTGTTCACAGGACCTATAAGCTCCATTGATGCACTTCATAAACTGGCTGTTCTCGTGCCTGGACAAACTCTCAAGTGCTCTGCCGTTCGAGATCTGACATCACGCCATCACTCTGGGCACCGTCCAGCCCAGTGACCCCCAGGTGCCCTGGGTTAAGACGACTCTGACAGGGAGACAGGGCAGTGTTTACTGATGACCTCGGACAGGCCATCTATCATGGAGACCTCTGTGACCCTCTAGGGGAGCTGCCCGATACAGAGACTTCGGGATGCCTGGAGCTAACAGGAGACGTTCTGGGAGACTGCCAGCCCTCTGGAGAGTGCAGCCTTCCTGCATGCTGGCCTTCTCAACAGAACAGGAAATACCACACGAGGGGTGGACGGGGGAGCCGAATGCCCTGACCCCTTTCTCAATCACTGCCAGGCTCTCTTCTCTGGTTTGTTTCCCTTTTCTGCCGTATCGTGTTCTGCCATCGCCTGTCAAGCCCTTGTATGTTTTGGCTGCTCCTTGGCCCTGAGCCTATAATCTGGAATCCTCTCCAACTTCTGACCCAGTTAATTTACAAAAGCAAAAACCCGAGTTTCAGCCATTCAGAAACCCAGAATTCTTCCCCTGGCTCTCAGGGCTCTGATCAGCAGGACACAGTGTGTACATGTAGCAACTTCTGGAGGAGACGGCAACCCGCTGAGTAGAACCACCCAGCCAGAGCAGCAAGGCCAGGTCACAACCCTGTCCCCTGTCCCCCAGAATCCCTCAGATTCTGGGATCTGTTGCCAGTTCTCTTTGTTGTTGCTTCTGGAGCTGGGCTGATTCCAGCTCCCGTGACTGTCAACCAGAGCCCTGTGAGTCACATGCTTATCCAAACCCTTTCAGGATGCTTCCTTATTCTCTGCCACTGTAATTCCTTGAGGTGATAAAATCTGTGTATTATTCCTGCTGTGTTGAAGTAGGCCTTCAATTTAATTATTCTAACATAACTCTGCTCATATTTTGGCGGTGACCCTTATTTTAGTGAGAGAGGCTCGGTAGTTGAATCTGGGTCCCCTTCCTCCATGCCTGACTTCACAGGGGCTCTTTTCAGTTGGATGATGGGTCAGCTCTGTAGTTAATTACCTTACATCCTCTTCCAACCACTGAAAACTCATTTTGATAAGTCAGGGTGGGGCGGGGGGGCTGGAAGCAAGGGGCGATGCCGGGGTTGCCACTGGAGTGTCCTGCAGCGCTCTGGACAAAGGGACAGGACCAGCATTTCCTCATCCACAACCCCCAATCCAACAAGCTCTGCAAAGCACACGTTCTGGGAACTTCCCTGGCAGCAAACTGATCTGAACTCAGCTTATTTGGCCATAAAACCTGACCTGGTGTGAGGCGCTCGACTGTTTTTCTTCATTTATACATATTGCTGAAGAATTAAGGATGTGTCTGAACAGAGTGCAGCCCGAGACCCTCCTAAGGTGTTATATGAATTATGGTCTAAGCACTATGTGGACTTTCGAAAAGGAAAACCAAGTCTGACTGTGAAGCATGTCCAGTCCCAAGGGTTTTGGCTGCGAAACTCTGGCACGAGTGGACAGCAGCCACCACATTCCAGGAGCCCAGAAAGGTTAGGAAAAGAGCATGCGCCCATAGCAGGACTGGTCTTCTCTAAAGTGCATGCTCGGTATTTCAGTACAGTCCTTGGTTTCTAAACATCTCAGAAGACACATGCCCGAACCTGCAGAAGACCCCCTTGTCTCTGGCCCTCCCAGGAGTCTGTGAGAACTGGAGGAGATACAGGTGGACGGTCTGAACCTCAGAAGGTCTGACAGGCCCTGCTGGAAGTGGTTACACCCCCCGCCCAAACCCAAATGCCTCCTTCTTCTGCTTCATTCTGGCACTGGGATCATCCAAAACCACACCACAGAGCTTAGCTAATCATTCTCCTATTGCTCTGCAACCCTTATGTCATTACAGGATTCATGTCATTAAAAAACAAACTACTCAAATGGAAAGATTTCATGTATTTTTTTTTTAAGTCTTAATTGGCCACTGGGGTCAAGCCTGTTTTTCCAGTGCTCGGCCTGAGTTGGGGACACAACTCAACCTTCAACATGTAGCATCGAGGGAGGCAGCCTGCTCCCTGGGGCAGCTGGGACCAGGGATGGAGCTGGGCCTTGGCCCTTGTTGTACAGGGCACCAGCTAGCCTCGCCGGCAGCTCCTGACCATGCCCTCCACCTCCTTTTTGCCCGCATCCTCTTCTTGCTTCTCCTCTCCCCGCTCTCATGCCACTCCCCAGGTTCTCCCAGCATGAAAAGCACACAAAACCAATTCGACGCACCAGGCCAACAAGAAACATACCAACATCAGTTTTGCCAGAAAAGTGGGATATAAGACAATGCACTTGGCTGACAATGACAGTCTGAATGGGACTGGCTCTTTTCCAAGCATCCATAGGCCAGAAGCAGACCCAGCACCTTCACGATGGTCCCTCGCATTGGGAACTGCACAAGCAAGAGATGCTCGCTCAGCAAGGCTTGGGTCACTTTTCACTTCACAAACATAGCCCAAGTAAGTGGGCTGTGTTCATATTTTTTTTCAAAAAAGAGTATTCTCGGCTATAAGAATTTTGAAAAATCATATTTAAGAATTGCTTTTTAGTAAAAATGGATTTTTCTCTTCATACTACTATTTCATGAGCTCTTTTTGAAAGTGAAAAGAAAAGTGAAAGTGTTAGTCACTTTGGTCATGTCCGACTCTTTGTGACCCCATGGACTGTAGCCTGCCAGGCTCCTCTGTCCAAGGAATTCTCCAGGCAAGAATACTGGAGTGGGTAGCCATTCCCTTCTCTAGGGGATCTTCCCGACCCAGGGATCAAACCCAGGTCTCAGGGCTGGATTACAGGCAGATCTTTTACCATCTGAGCCATCAGGGAAGGTCAGGGCCAGGGACTGGGAAGGGAACACACACGACATTGGGTTTAGGGAGGTCAGCGGGGTCCTGACGGACGTGGGGAAAGGGAAGAATCTTTGTATCTTGCTTCCAATTGAGGAAGCGGGTGGGGGTGGGGAGGAGGCTGCCTGGGAATGTTCTGCCTATTTTTTCCTTCTTAGGGAGAAACTGAAGAGGCAGAAACTTTAAAACACGGTTGTATGTTTTAGGAAAACGTTGTCACCAAGAGTTCTTGGTGGAAGCTACAATAGAGAGTGTTTTTCAACAGGAGGGCGCTCTATGCCAGCCTGTGGCATCTAACCATGTTATGGTCACAAAGCTCCCCAGGGCATGTTGCCTGGGTCCCAACCTCCACGTCAGAGAAGGGGCACCAGGCTTGGTGACCAGCGGGCAGACACACTGGCTGTTTTCACTCCAGCCTGTCCCCCTCTGCCCCCACCTCAGCGGTTCCTTACCTTTCTGCTCTCCTTGGGGTCAGTCAGGAAAATGGGCCATTTCCATAGGTCACTGTCACAGGGCACATAACCCAGCGGGCCTCAGTTCACAGAACACCCGTGGAGTCTGCTGTGCCGGGGTTTACTTTCAGATACCTCTTGCTGCACCTTCCATGGGGGTCTCCTGTCACCCTGCATTTCAGGCTCTCAAACATGGTCACCGGTAGCCTCATTTCCTGTGGGTCTGCCCCAAACCCTGCAGCTGAGATTCTCTGGCCAAGTGGACTGGATTCACTTCCTGCCATTATGACCGTATTATCCTTCCAAATCATGCTGCTGGCTTCCTCTCGGTTCTTGAATTAAGGTCAAGTTTCCAGCTCTCACTTTCCAATCTTTACTATGTACGGCTGCCAACACTGTCTGCTTTCACGTGTGTGTATTTTCCGTCCCTTTTCTCCTTTTTCTCCTCCCTCCTTCTAGTTTACACTTTCCTATGCCTCTTTCTTGAGCTAGATATTAACTCAGTGGTGTCTCCAGCTTTCTTTTTTGATCTCCAGAGAAAATCCCCTGGAGAAGTAAAAATCTACCCACTCCAGTATTCTGGCCTGGAGAATTCCGTGGACTGTATAGTCCATGGGGTTGCAAAGAGTTGAACACGCCGGAGTGACTTTCACAGTTAAGAAAACCATTTTCATTGTGGAGCCACTTTACTCTTTCACCTCTGTGTCTCAGCAGGTGATTGACTTCCCCTGCCTCAGTTTCTCTATTTGTCAACGGAATATCTCCATATTCACTGTGCTTTCAGCTCTCTGAAGTGTCTTCTATGAACAGAGGGTGTTGGGCTTGACAGCTCACCATTTCAGTTTCCTAATACGGATCTTCCAGGGGCTGTGGCTATACAAGTGGGGATTTTTGCTG